ACATACCACAGAGGTTTTAAAAAACCTTAACATGCTAGGTTGCTTCTTTGTTTAGCCTCCTACCTCTCCAGACCTAAACCCAATAGAACAGGTAGGTTACTCATCTATTCATTTATCTTCCTCTTCAGATCTAAGTTTGAACAGGTATGGAGAATTATGAAAGACCGAATTCAACGATGCTCACCTCATCCAACCACTAATTCACTACTCCTTTGTGCAATCCAAGAGGAGTGGAATGCGATTTCCTCTGAGGAAATTGCTAGTATGACCAGCTCCCTCCCCCCCTGTGTCCTTGCAGTTCAGCAGGTCTCTGGTGGACATACAAAATACTAAGGACCTGTTTGGTGGGAATGGAACCGTTCTGTTTCCCCATACAAATGACCGTTTCCTGCCATGCTGAAGATGCCAAGACAACCATTCCCCAGCAAAAATCATCAATAAACGGAACAGTCGACCTGCCTACCTGCCTACCGTTCCTGCCGAATAGCCCCTAAGGTGTTGAACTTGTATTTCTTTATGGTATTCTTTTTTTTTCTCTTGTTTTTTTCTTTCTATCGCTCTTGTGGTCAGGAATACATTTAACAATCACCAGAGAACTTAAGAACATAAATCAGTAGTGGCTGTTCTGGTAGAGAAGAGATCCTGTAACTGTGAGAGCAAGCTGTCCTTTTCCTGATTTATGATATTACGGCTGTCCTTTGTTTCCTTCCTCCTTTTTTTTTTTTCTCTTTCTATTTGCCTTTAGTATTCTCAGTTTTCAAGGCTGTTGTAAGAACTACTAGTTATCCCGGTGACATTCCCTACTGTGAAATGTTTATTGAAATACGAGTATCGTACCATGTGACCTCTTTATGTTCAGTGGAATCTAAGACAAACACTCGGTAAATGTCTTATAAAACTTGGTGTGTGCGAAGACTTTATGCCTGTCCCTTGTAATAATACGACGAATGGGGTATTGGTTATAATGTGATGGATCACATACACGTGGCACGGCCAATAGAACGTACAGGCACACACACCAACGATGCCGACTCGCGAGTAGGTTGAGACGTATCACAACGCTAACTTCCCCACTACGGGAGCCTTAAAAATTTCTTGCCACCACTGTCGTCATTAGTAAGCAATGCTGTTGTTGGTAACTAGAAATTCGCAGGTCTGCACACTTCAGAATACCCATTGCTACAGGTACGCTGAGAACAAATGAGAACTACGGCAGTAGCCCAAAGCATGCGCCGTCTTAGACGACAAGAGGGGTGGTCATAATTCCTGAATTTCAGTAGTCCAGAAGATAATGGTTGCAACCATCTCTCCTAAACAGGCATTACGAGTAGAGGAGCGCTTTTCCGCATTCACTAAAATCACTAAAAGTGCGTGAAACTCGGGAACAGACGAAGGGATCCGTGGATAGGTTCCCCAGTGTATATAAGGAGCCCATTCCCCCCTTAGGTCTTGGGGTGTGTGTGTGCTTCTGGTCTCCATTGGCCCGCTGCTGGTTCCTGGAGCTTGCATGAATGTATCGGTGTCCATTCCTCGACCAGTCGATGGAAGGGTCACATTCCGCAGTGGTGTGGTCGCACGGTCTCGTCTCGTCTCGTCTCGTCGTCTGTAGTGACGTGTCGTATCCTACCGCTACCAATAGTATTACAACCACCGTACCGTATTACCGTGTGCTACGTCCTGGCCGTAAAAGGAAGAGGGTGCGTCCCACGGAATCTCACTCCTTGGCACATGTGGCGGAGCTGGCACATCCGAGCGGTGGCCAATGGGACGACCGTACCACCACACCAGGACCTCCTGGCGAGAAGGTCGAGACCTACCCACGAGTAGGCTACGCGGGGTATATAAGGAGGGCATTCCCCCCTTCTCGGTCGCCCGACCACCGAGAACGCTACACCACCACAACACCATGGTCTACTACAGCAAACCGTATCGCAAACGAGCAGGATGGCAAGCGTCATACCGCACACGAAAACAGTACAACCCTCCAGTTAGGAGGAGGAAGATGACGACGAAGACAAAAGCCCCAAAGCGGTCGGCAAAGCCCAAGATGAAGACGTCGAGGATAACGATCGAGGCCGATGTCAAAGGGCCGCAGCCGATATACGTCGAGGGAGAAGAAGCGAAGCGGTGCTATGTTAGAATTCCAATCAGCGCAGCGATCCCGACGCAACAACAGGCGGGAGCACCACCGGACGAAAGGAATCGCATGAGTAACAAGATCATGATCAAAGGCTTCCGGGTACGAGGGATGGTCTCGTACTCGGGTACGATCCGTGCCATGGCGCTGGCGTACGAGAACCTACATCAAACATCGGTGGTAGGCTTGAACGGAAGCCCCCCAGGCGAATTCTTCTGGGGATAACCAGCGAGCGACGCATGCTCACAGCACTCGAGGCGGGCATGGAATCCCCTTACGGCCCGTACAAAATGAGACCGGCAGCGGACAATACGAGGAAACTCGATGGGGCCGACGGAACACCGTTTACGGCGGACCAGAACCTCGAATCGACCGGGAAGGCCATCGGTAGTTGGAGCTGGGAAGTGGACGGCCAGACTACGAGTAAGAAGAGGCGGCTCGGCATCAAAAAGGAGACCGGAGTGATGCGAACGGTCAACTGGACCCAGCAAAGGAACGAGCAGGTAGGCCAAGGATGGGTGCAGACCGGGACCATGACGCTCGAATGGTACTGTGCGCTCGAGAGGGAAGTGGTGACGATGCACGAGCTATCGACCGAGCTGTGCAACAAAGGAGACCTAGAGGCGATAGTCGGGTTCGATATGCCAACGGCGGGAGAGGAGCAGTTGAGAGGAGCGGTGAAAGGCGGTACAATCAAAGGAGTGACGGTGACGATATACTACGTGAACATGTGAAGATAGTTTACGATCGTGGAGATGAAATGAAATGAAATGATGACTGTAATGACATTCGACTACGAATAGAACGCCGGACTGGATTGTGGACCGTGGGGTGCAGGGGCTTGCCCCTGCCTAGAGCGTCAGCGTCACCCCCGACCAAGAGTGATCTAATCTGATTGATCTAGTGTGACTACTAGCTACATGTGTGGAATTATGTCATGTGTTCAGCTTTTGTAGAACCGTGGCGTGTGCCACGGATATATGATTCCTTCTACAAAAGCTGGCACATGGCACTTGTGACATGTAAGCACACCTAAGAATCGAATAAATTGCGGGGGGGTGAATGTACCCCTGTCTGGCACCTCGCCTGGCACATCACGGAATCTCACTCTTTGGCACCTGTGGCGTTGGCACGGAGGGACGCCGGCGACCAATGGGGAGTAGGGGCACACACATACAAGAAAGAATACCCCGACCAATGGCGCGATCGGGGGGGGTGACACAGGACCTTTCCGGGAAGGCACGTACCTACTCCGACAAGGTATTCGGACAAGCTTGGCGCCAAGGACGACGGGTATATAGAGGACCCATTCCCCCCATCTCGGTTGCCTGCTCACTGAGACTCCTACAACGACAACGACGACAACACCACGACCGGTACCCGACGATACCGGCACACCACGAATACAGCCCACGACGAACGGGGGGAAAGGAAACCAGCAAACGGCGCCGACACCACCGAACCACTACGGGCGAAGCGATACAGCGACGCCACCACTACCACTTGACATTAGGAGTATCGCGATCGCGAACGAGAGGTACGTCGAATGCCCCACGAAGGCCCAGCAGAATACCGGGTGCCACACCTACGCGAGTACAGGATACTGACCGACTGACCGACTGACCGACTGACAGTGACAAGCGACAGGCTCATCGATCGGATTCATCCCGCGAGACCAGGATGTCGTCGGATACATCGATGTCGAGGGTACCGGAGACGACACTACCGCTGACCTCATCGGAGGTGCGGGAACAGGAGCTGGAGCTACGGTCGCGACCGGAGGTGTATGTGCGGGCGACGCAGGAGTCCCCGGTTCGGATGGAGGACGAGGTGCACGATATCCGCGATGATGTCCGGCGGCTGGCCACCCGGTTCGACGGGCAGGAGGAACGGCTCGACCGGATGGAGAGGAGGATGGACGAGAGCGACCGGCGGATAGACGGGCGGTTCGACACGATCAAGGAGTGGACCGAAGGGATGAAGGAGTGGACCGTGGGAGTAGCGGAGACGCTGCGGACGATGACGGAAGAGCTGGCCGAGATCCGGAGACGGGTCGGACGGGCAGAATAGAAAGGAGTAGGGTAGAACGGACACCTCTTCCCCCCCTGACTCAAGTGACCCTCAGACCGAAAGTGAAACGGAAACATCGTGACAAAAAAGACTAAAAGTGACACTCAGACCACTAGTGACGAAAGGACTACTACTAATGATCCCCGGACTAGATTATGGAAGGGGGGGTGTAGGGGCGACAGCCCCTACTTGGAGCGTCAGCGTCACCAACGACTCAAGTGACATTAACGACTCAAGTGACATTGACGACTCAAGTGACATTGACACTAGTGAAAATGAGGATCGTGAGATTAACAGTACAGGTGAAATACTGATACCGATGAAAAAGGAGTACAAACGATACCATCGGGAGTGATCTAATCAGATCATCTCGGGGCGTACGAGTATAAGCCACCGACGGAGAATTATGTCATGTGCCTAAGCTTTTGTAGAACCGTGGCGTGTGCCACGGATATATGATTCCTTCTACAAAAGCTGGCACCTGGCACCTGTGACATGTGCGCACAAGTAAATTCGGTGGTAACTTCAGGTACTGGGCCTGGCACTTTGTCTGGCACATCACGGAATCTCACTCTCCTGGCACGCGTGGCTGTGCTGGCACTTCTGACGGAGGGCCAATGGGGAGACACCCGGGCACACCCACAGGGAAATACCCCGGCCAATGGCGCGATCTGGGGTGACACAGGACCTATTCGCCGATAAGGCTGAACCTATTCACGATTAGGTCGGAATGGTAGCTTGGCGCCAAGGAGGTTGGGTATATAGACGGCCCATCCCCCCATCTCGGTTGCCTGCCCACCGAGACAGCTACAACAACAACGACAACACCACGACCGGTACCCGACGATACCGGCACACCACGAATACAGCCCACGACGAACGGGGGGAAAGGAAACCAGCAAACGGCGCCGACACCACTGAACCACTACGGGCGAAGCGATACAGCGACGCCACCACTACCACCAGCAAAGCGAAGCGAGAGCAATGGGCGCATCGCGATCGCGAACGAGAGGTACGTCGAATGCCCCACGAAGGCCCAGCAGAATACCGGGTGCCACACCTACGCGAGTACAGGATACTGACCGACTGACCGACTGACAGTGACAAGCGACAGGCTCATCGATCGGATTCATCCCGCGAGAACAGGATGTCGTCGGATACATCGATGTCGAGGGTACCGGAGTCGACATTACCGATGACCTCATCGGAGCTGAGGGAACAGGAGCGGGAGTTACGGGAGCGACCGGAGGTGTATGTGCGGGCGACACAGGAGCCCCCGGTGGAGTTCCGGCTGGAGGACGAGGTGCACGACATCCGCGATGAGGTCCGGCGGCTGGCGACCCAGCTCACCGGGATGCAGGACAGGATGGACGAGAGCGACCGGAGGATAGACGAGCGGTTCGACACCATCAAGGAGTGGACCGAAGGGATGAAGGAGTGGACCGTGGGAGTAGCGGGGACGCTACAGACGATCCTGGGGAAGCTGTCGGATATCGACAGCCGTGTAGTTCAGGCAGAACGGAAAGGAAAAGAATAGAATAGAATGGATCCTCCTCCGCACCGGCGTGACCAAAGTGACCCAATGACTAAACGCGAAATCCAGAGTGTTGTGAAATGATGACTACTGATGAAAGCCCGGAACAGATTGTGGAAGGGGGGGTGGTAGGGGCGCAGCCCCTCCTTGGAGCGTCAGCGTCATCTGTGAGCATCGTGACATTTGACCAAGAGTGACAAAAGGACTACAAGCGACATGGACTAACGGTGAAAGTACGACCACGGTGAAATGGTGAGTACGGTGGAAGGTGTACCAACCGACGGTACCCGGCGTGATCTAATCTGATGATCTCGGGGGATACAGACGAGCCACCCTACGCGGTATTATGTCAGGTGCCAAAGCTTTGGAAGACCGGGGTGCCAGCCCGGCTATGATTCCTGTAAGCGTATACCCGAGTTACTTTTTGGATCGTACCTGTCGACAGGATGCAGAGATGTTTCCGCCTGCCGGCGGCGATTGTGCTTGTGCTGGATAGGTAGAAGTGTGCTATTGATATAGGGGTGTTGTGCAGGTGTCGGGATCTGGTGCGGGAGGAGGGGGGTCCGTAGTGCGGTTTGTGTGGTGCCGGCGGAGGGTTGATTTGGGGCCCGTGAATAGGAGAAGGGGGTGGCGGGAGAGAATATGGAGGGTTGATATCATTGACTGACGACCTGTTAATTGCTTGATACTTAACAGAAGGGGAGCGGGAGGTATACAAAGTTGCCAGCAATCCTATTTCCAATCTGCGAACCTCACTACGGCCAACTCCTCCGGCCGCAACCTCCCTGGAACGTTATGTGGCGAGTTTGTTGTACTCTTGGGAATCCCCTCGAGACCAGAGGCAGACCCCGCTGCGTCCTGATCTCCCACATTCTTCCTCCGCCCCCACCCTGCCAGTGTCTTCACCAGCACCCCCTGCGCCTGCACCATCCAACCCCACGCCTTCCTATCTAGGTCACTTTCAAACTTCCTGTGTAGCTGCGCAGAATACTCCTTCTCGCTAGTGGGTCTTCGGTCCCGGTATCACGAGGCTTATGCAGCAAGCCCCGATTTCTAAATCAGATGGTGAGCTTTTCATTGCGTGAGTCTTACCATTCTAGAAGGCCTTGTTCATCCTCTCCTTTCCCCTTTTCTAAGGAGCCATGACCGGCGCCTTGAATATCTACCGCAGCAACTGCAACGGCACCGGACAGGCCCTCATCGACAAAGAATAACTATCCGCCCTGAACGGCTTGTAAGTCTACATCTGCATCCTCATCGCCGCCACCGACGGGGTTCGCGCCCTGCTCCTTCGTCACTACTGTCAGAATATGCACCACCATCTTACTACCCTTATGGTCGCCAAACCTAAATATTTTGGGGAATCCTGCTTCGACAACGATCCTCCGAAGGAGTGCTCGGTTTGCCGTTTTTCGGAAGGCTCGGGCTCCACAAAGGCTAGCGAGATGGATTCTGAAGGGGCAGTTTCTGAGTGGGATTTGTCTTATCCATTGTTGTTGCGGGGGGAGGATAATTGTGGGTATGCTGATGGTGGTTCGGGTGGGGGAAGTGGTGCTCAAGGAGGCCATTTTTCTCCTTTCATGGTGCGGGGTAGTGGGTAGTACAAGATTTGAGCCTCAAAAGTCTGTGAGTGAGAGGTTGCACATTTGGTTGATCGGTGGCAGGTGGGAGGATCCAACTTGGTGGTACTCGTACAAGTACGATATCATTCCCGTGCCAAGGTTATGGCTTAAGCGCCACAACTGGGGGCACTTTAAAGAGCGGACTTTGTGGGTTACCATAGCAACGGTGTCACTCAGCATGACATTGAGGCTCAATATTCCCTGAGGCTTACAGTGTCTATGCGAATACAACCTAATTTACGAGCATATCAATATTCATTATACTCCCCATTATTTAATGAAATACTAATACCCGAATGACCCTCAAGCTGTGCTTAGTCACCATGACGCTATGGCATCATAAATAATTCACAAAGTGGCGTTGAGCTATCCGGCAGTCTTTAGAGTGCCACCCAATTGCAAGGCTGCGGGTATCCGGGGGTTATGCAGCTCAACCCTCCACCACTGGGGCACGAGCACCTATCATACTTGCAAATTTATCATTAAATTTTATCCTAGTTTACAGCGAACCGACTTCAAACTATGACAGCCAATCCCCCGATTACCCAGGGAGAATTCGAAACTAAATGCCACAACAGGCAAACCCGCCTTTCAACCACTGCCCCCAAACATAAACCCAAATATCACTACCCCCGAGCTCATGCATGCACTACCCATGTCGATCAACGACGTCCGGGGTTTATGCGCCCTCCCTCCCCGCAACCCTCCACTCACTATCCCCTAACATCGTATTCACCCGCCGCTAACTAATTCAACATGCATCTCCGAAACCATTAAAGTGATCTATCCCAACACTCCCGGGTGCAGTAACTGCTAGGGGGTGAGGCTGTCTATCCAGAAACCAAGAGGCTGTTGTTGGGAAAATGGCTTCAATGTGACGGAAGTGTATCTGGTCTGGCCAGGTGGCAACTAGCCCAAACAACACCGTAAATAGATAGCTCCCAGAAGTATAAGTACCATTGCCTGGTGCCCAAGTAGAATAGCAATCAATCATCGGATTCATCTTCTCAAGAATATACTCTTCTCATACTCTGCGATCTTCCAAGCTCCTACCCAAATCACTGACATCGCATACGATATTTCCAACAGCTGTTTCCACAAGCACTACAGCACTACCACTTGCACCGCCATAATGTCTCATTCGGCTCGTATCCTCGGTCTGATCTACATCCGGGTGGTAATTAGGCGCCTCCCTCGTGCCTACCAAAACCTGCAACTTTATCGGTGATAGTCTTCGCCATTTTCGAATTTCTTTTAAATAAAATCGAACTTCTAGGACTCGGCTTTTTACTCAAAATCAATACAGTACTAAATGGTAACTTCGAGATATAGTGTTAAGAGGTGGATATACGTACGCGGGGTTAAGAGATCGTGAGTTCCTTTGAACAATATCGGTAAGGAAAGTAGTGGAAAAGGTGATCAATAAAAACAAATATGAGTAATATATAGGACTTATAATGACAGTACTACAAAACATAGATCCTACGAAATAATTTCCACTGTCTTTACAATCAGACTAGCAGGAAAAACTTTCCACCACACCTTGTTAATGTCTAACTTTCGCATCTCCTGCAGTTTGAGAGAGTGCCTCTGTGAAATCGAATGACAACATTCGCGCTTGCACCAACGGCTCGATATTTGGTAGCTAAAGCATGCTATCCAGCGCTAGATATTCTTAGCACATTCGGCGGTTCCAGAGGTTGAAACCTACTCACATGGTAGGAACTAAAGGAATCAATTGAGCATGCTTTTTGATTAAACAAGAAGGCAGCTTGGATACCTTGAATCACTGGCTGCCCGGTTCCTCGCGTCCATACCTGACTGACGCAGAAGGACCAACCCGGGGCTTTGCGCACAACCTATCGGAGGTATTACCATGAGAAAAATACTCGGGGTTTTATGCCTATCATCCGGCACAGACACGCCCCTGTCCGGAGTCCACCCAGCTTCCCCGGAGGGTGGGAGCTAGGTCCCATTCATGCATGCGACATTTGAATACTCTATTACACACCGGGTGGAGTGTCAGGCGTTGGGAGCAGTCCGGCCAAAAGCGCGATCGAACCTCAGTTGAATTTTAAATGATGACTAACTTAGAATCTAACCTTGGCACGGTTGGGGTCTAAACGTTGTGGGATTCCATTTGCTTGCTAGAATATGACTGTCGATGGATCAGACTGCTAGTTGGAGGGATTATGCACCTATATATCTCGCACCCCACCGCACTAATTCCCTCCAAATTTTAATTCGGTTTCCGTCACTTACCCTGACCCGGTGCTGGGGGTACGTACAAACGATGGTCACTCTTTGTAGGTGCCATCGTATTACTGCCCGATTTCCAAATCCCTGCTTGATATTTGGTGCTCGTTTAATAATAATTACATACTCCATTTTTCTTCCAACAAGACTTTCCTTAAGCTCTCCTAAGCTCCACTCCGGTACTAGGCCAACCGCACCGAATCCATTGGGTCAATAATGCACAAAGTGTTGGAAATGTCGGAGTCTAGTTCTTGCGGCATACCCCACCACGAAACGCCGGCGCAGGCACTAATGCTATCATCGTATTTCACGGCGGTGAACTCTCAAACGAAGGAAGATATAACAGTTTGACGCTATTGGCTAGATGAAGAGTCCTCCCTGCTAGTTTGGTCGGAAAGACAAATGACTATTGATCTCGGAGAATCTATATCTTATGGTATTGCCTTTATAAGTTCTATGTCTGGCTTAATGTTATTTTCCTTCGGCCATCACTATTGTTCACCGTCTCCATCACCCATCCTTTTCTCGTTCCCTATATCACTCTCCTGTTGATACCAGAGGCCCACAGCACTTATTGACTGGTCGTTTGAGGTTTATTGCCTGCAATTTCAGAGCTTCCGACTGAGGCCACGGAAAGCTGCCCATCGTGATTTTCATGACAAAGGCTATATTCTGCACAGGGTAATATCCGGTCCCTGAAGATACGGGACTGTAGATCCTCCTGCGATATCTCCCTAGTGACGACCCTGGGTCATGATGGGAGTGCGCTAGGGAGGTATTCTGTCCTGTGAGAATTGAGCCTTTCAGTTGTGCACTTCATCATGTTTGTCACCGATATAAAAAATGTCTAGCACAACGCCGGCATCTCACAATGACAGCATGTAGTAAAAGCCCAATACTCGTTACCCACCTCGCTTGCCACTATCGCCCCCCATCCCGAGAGGGTTGTGGCCAGCTCCGGAAAAAAATAAAAAAGTCCCACGGTGATTCTCCGTCCGGGGCACATTCTCTCGCGATAGACACTGTTCGGTAACCTAGCACTACACTGCGTGTCTAGCTATCTGTCCGTCTATTCATGCTGCTATATTCGTTGGCTAACTCTCATCGATCCGGATTCTTCCCTTG